ATTTCTTTCTTTCTTTTTTTTTTTTTTGTACCAGGGATTGAACCAGTGGTGCTTAACCACTGAGCCACATCTCTAGCCCTTTTTGTATTCTATTTAGAGACAGTAGCTCATTGAGTTGCTTTAGGACCTCACTAAGTTGCTGAGACTGACTTTGGACTCATATTCCTCCTGCCTCAGCCTCCTTAGTTGCTGGAATTATAGGCGTGCGTCACAGCATCCGGCTCACCAATGGTTTCTTTTCTTTTTTAAAAATTTTTAGTCATTGATGGACCTTTATTTTATTTATTTGTTTATATGTGGTACTGAGAATTGAACCAGTGCCTCACACATGCTAGGCAAGCACTCTACCACTGAGCCACAACCCCAGCCCACCAATGGTTTCTTTAAGACCAGGTAGAACAGCACTATTTACCAGAATTATTACCTTAAAATAAGTTGTTATGTTTCATATTGCCACAGTAAACTTTTTTGGTTTTTTTTCTCCTTTTTTTGTTTAGATGTGAGTTCTGCATTCAGACTAAATCCTCTAATGATTAATCTGTCATCTCTGTCCTGTGAATTCTGATTCCTTCCTGTCCTGCCCATCTTTGCTTCAACGCTGTGTATAAACCTCCACTTTAATTCTGTGAGTGTAATTTCTCTTTCTGTGCTTTAATCCTGTATATTCCTGTGATTTCTGGGCCATATTCTGATTAAACAAGTATTTCTGGAATTTAGAATTTATAGCTATTATCTAGAATCTGCTTAATTGATAGCTTAGTAATATTAATAGACAAAATTATTGAATTAATTGATTTAATAGCTTGCATTAACTCATTTAATCCTCACAAGAACTTTATAGGTAGGTATTATTGTTTCCCTCTTTTTACAGATGAAGAAAATGAAGCACAGAATATTTAAGTAGCTTGTCCAAGGTCGTATGGCTAATAAAAAAAGTAGTAGGATTAGGATTTGATTCCAATCACTTGATTCTAGAGCTTTATACTTATCCACAAGGCTGATAGGCCAGTTCTACTCCCCTAGGATATATTTTGTTTGGTTGGTTTTCTTTCTTTAAATTTTCTTTAGTCTTGCAGTTAATAATATCCTAATGTAAGGTGGAATTAAAAATTACCTGCTTTGCCTTGCTGGGCGTGTAGCTCAGTGGTAGAGCAATTGTCTAGCACGTTTGAAGCTCTAGGTTTGATCCCAGGAAAACACACACACACACACACACACACACACACGCACACACAATCACGTCTCTGAAATTCTAATTATTTCACAATAATTACTAAATAAATTTCTAACCACTTTAAAAAATATATTTTTTAGCTGAAGATGGACACAATACCTTTATTTTATTTATTTGTTTATTTGTTTATTTATTTATTTATTTATTTATGTGGTGTTGAGGTTTGAACCCAGTGCCTCACAGTACTAGGCAAGTGATCTATCACTGATCTACAGCTCTCACCTGCTAATAAACGCTTTTTTTAAAAAAAAGGAAATTTATATTTTTCTGAAAGATTATGTGTATATGCTAATGTCTTATCTATTGAATTATAAACCTGCCTCCAAGTAGAAATTCATTTTAAGCTTTATTTTTCTGTCATATAATATTATGTTAGTTAAAATTAACACAAATTTTTAAAATGTTTTAGTCTTGTAATGTTGCCAGACTGGTTTCCAGTTCTGGAGCTTAGGAGATCCTCCTGCTTCAGCCACCCCATGCACCACCATGCCCCATTTAGCTATTGATTAATTAATTTATTTATTTTCAATACTGGGCATAGAACCCAGGGCCTTGTGCATGTTAGATGAGTACTCTACTTCTGAGTTACCTGTGCAGTATTTTAATCTTAACATTCTGAGGATGTCTATAGATGATTATATTTTTATTGAATATTCATGATAAGATTAAATAGATACATTTGTTGGGTCTTTACAATTTATACTCATAAACATGAGATTTATGCATGATATTAAGGTAGCTGGTAGTAAATATTTTAGCATAGACACTCAACCATAACTGTTAAATCACTAGATCTAATTAACAGAACTCTTAGCCATGTAAAGGTACATAAATAACGCAAGACAAAATTTGGAGAGATATTTTTTATTTTTCTCCATATTTTTATTTGTACATTATAATTGTACATAATAGTGGGATTTGTTGTTTCATATTCATACATGCACATAATAAAACAATATAATTTGGTCAATATCATTCCACAATATTTCCCCTTTTCCTCCACTCCTCCATTCCCTGGTCTTCTTCTAGTGATTTCCCTTTGATTTTCATGGGATTCCCCCACCACCACCTTTCTTTTCCTTTTTTCCTCTCTAGCTTCCACATATGAGAGAAAATATGTGACCCTTGACTTTCTGAGTTTGGCTTATTTTGCTTAACATAATGTTCTCAAGTTTCTTCCATTTTCCTGCAATTGGCATAATTTCATTACTCTTTAAGGCTGAATAAAACACCAAGGTTTATATATACTATATATATTTTTTTAAGTCCATTCTTCCAATGACAGACACATTAGGCTGATTCCATAGTTTGGCTATTGTGAATTGTGCTGCTATAAGCATGGGTATGCATATATTATGGTAGTATGATGACTTTAATTCTTTAGAATAAAATCAAGGAATGGTATTGCTGGGTCTTATGGTGGTTCTATTCCTAGTCTTTTGAGGAACTTCCATATTGATTTCCATAGTGCTTCTACTAATTTACAGTTCCACCAACAGTATAAAAGTGTCCCTTTTCTCTACATCCTACCATTTCTTATTGTTTGTATCCTTGATGACTGCCATTCTGACTGGTGAGAAATGAAATCTCAGTGTAGTTTTGATTTGCATTTCCCTAATTGTTAATGATGAAGGACTTTTTTTATGTATTTGTTGGCCATATGTATTTCTTCTTTAGATAAGTGTCTACTGTTTGTTGGCCATTTGTGTTTCTTCTTTAGATAAGTGTCTACTATTTGGCTAACAGGGCAGGTAGTACGTACTATATGAATGTGTTGCATGAAGGAATGATTCACATACTGGGCAGGACAAAGCATGACTGTGTGAGATTTTATCACACTACTCAAAAAGGCACACTTTAAAACTTGTTAATTATTTCTGGCATTTTTGTTTAATATTTTTAGACCAGTTGAAATTACACATCTTGGGCAACTATTGTGTGTGGAATCATTTTGTTGGTAACTTGAAAGTAAATTTTGAGTGTGCACATGCATGCGTGTATGTTGATGGGAGTCCAACCTAGGGCCTTGTATATGCTAGGCAAGTGCTCATTCATCAAGCTACACCTCCAGCCTAAAAGTAATTTTTAAGTTATGTAGTTATATTGTATTTTGATCACTATTTTCATGTTATACTTCACTCAAATTTGAGTTCATTTTTAATTCATTCTTTCCTTATCTTTTCCTTATTTCTTTTTTGAGACAGTGTCTTACTATGTTGCTCAGGCGGTCTTGAATTCCTGGGTTCAAGGGATCCTCCTCAGTTAGCCTCCATTGTAACCAGGACTGCAGACAGGCTCCTGAGAGTTCTATTATAAGTATATTAACTGGATTGGTGTTGTGGCTCAGTGGTAGAGCAGTTGCCTAGCATGCATGAGGCACTGGGCTCAATCTTTAGCACCACATATAAATAAATAAAGGTATTATGTCCATCCATAACTAAAATTTTTTTTTAAAAAGTATATTAACTGAATCAATTCAGTTAACCTGGATTAGAATCATTAAGACTTCTCTTTTCCAAAAAACAAGTTTTATTTCCAAATGTTTGACTTTAATTTAAAAAAAAAAATTTAGTTGTAGATGGACACAATACCTTTATCTTGTTTATTTAGTTTGTTTATGTGGTGCTGGGGATCAAACCCAATGCCTCAGGCATGCTAGGCAAGCTTTCTACCACTGAGCCACAACCCCAGCCCCCAAATGTTTCATTTTAAATAGGAGAAATCTCTGTAATGCTAAATCTTTTCATTCTGAATATTCTTTTTCTCACAAAAGTTAATTTTAATCCTTTATACTATAATGAAACTTTCATAGAATTGACATGGAAAAGGAACTTAATTTGAGTTCCTAACATGGTAGGAACTTTCCATATAGTAGCTCACAGAACCTTTGCTACATTATGTGACGTGGTTATATTCATCCCTGTCACAACAACCATGCAAGTTAGCAGGTGTCACTCTAGCTGAACTGTTCAAGTATCTAAACTTTAGGTTAAGCACATTTCCTGAAGCCACTTTACTTCCAAGTGTCAGAGCCAGAAATAAAATCAAGATTTTTCTAGAGCTGGGGATGTGGCTTAGAGGTTAAGAACCCCTGGGTTCAATCCCTGGTAAAAATATAAAAAGATTTTTCTGACTACAAAGTCTGTGATCGTTTTACTTCATATTATTTGTACTCTACCATGTAGTTAATGCATGTTTGGTGAATAAAGGAATGACAGAGAGGCTCTAAGAGGCACCTGTTTTAAAGCATACAGAAGCAATCAATAAACATGATTCATGTTTATTAGAATATCTGGTAAACCTCTATTTTTTTAATGTTTATTTTTTAGGTGGACACCATATCTTTATTTTATTTATATGTGGTGCTGAGAATCGAACCCAGTGCCTCACGCGTGGTAGGCAAGTGCTCTACCTCTGAGCCATAACCCCAGCCCCTAAACCTCTACTATTTTTAAGTAGATGCTAAGATTTTGGTCTCTTCGGTTTCCATTAGGTTTGAGTTTTTTCTGTGTTTGAATTTTTAATTTACATTTTCTGTTTATATTGTTGTGGTGGTTCCATTTTGCTTTGCAGATCTGCTCTTTAACAGAAGTTGAACCTGATGTTGAAAAGGGATTACATGTGGAGCCAGAGTCTGAAATACCTGATGCTTACTTTGGTTCTGGAGTTGAACTGTGTATGCCATGAAATGAATCTATTTGCTGAGTTGTTCTAAGATTTATTGAGAAGAAAGAATAAATTGATGTGGCTGTCTGTTTTCTTTCAGCTTTCAGAAGAATTATTAGACAAATGGCTCTCCTACCCAGAGACCCAGCATGTACCCCTCAGCCAGCATATGCTTGGTTTTGCTATGAAGTCTGTTACACAGATAGTAATGGGTAGTACATTTGAAGATGACCAGGAAGTCATTCGCTTCCAAAAGAATCATGGCACAGTAAGTCTAGTGACAAATTTAAAATTATTGTTTTCATCACACTGGATGATAAAATGCTGACTTTGCCTCTCAAGAAAAGTTAAGCTTCTTGTTTTGACCTAAAAAGAACAATATGAGCTAAAATAACTCTTTTTAAAAAAAAATTTAAGAATTGCTTTTGTGTGGGGTGTGTGTGTGTGTGTGTGTGTGTGTGTGTGTAAGTAGAGATGGAAACCAGGAGTGCTTAACCACCCTTTTTCTTTTCTTTAAAATTTATTCTTTTTCATTATGGGTATTTGTTTTCAGGTTTTAGTATCATGAATGCACTTACACAAATCCCATGTTGTTTATATCTGTCTTGCATATATATCTAGAAATGAAATTGCTAGATATTAGAGTATATTAAGATTTGACATTAGAAGATAGCGTTACATTGTTTTCCAAGGTGGTTACACCATTTCTATTCCCTCCAGTAAGTCTCTATTCTTAAGCAGTATTCAATCCAGTAAAATGTAAGATAAACAAATGAAATTATTTACTATTACACATTCATAAACAAAGTAAAGGAATGAAAACTTCAAAATATACCTCCTACGGAGGGTAGATATAATTAAAACACAATATATGCATGTATGGAAGTGTTACAGTGAAACCTATTAATTAAGGAGATATGGCTCTTGGGGTTGAGGATCAAGCAGCAGATGAATTTGTCTCCTGTCCTCCTTTGATTCATTGGAGTTCTATCTAGAGAGATGTTTGTTTCTCTCATTTCTATTTTCTTAGTTTTGTTTTTTTTTTTATTTGTTCTACTTAGTTGTACATGACAGCAGAATCCATTTCAACTCATCATACACAAATGGAGTGTAACATTTCAATTCTCTGGTTGTTACACAGTGTAGAGACACATCATTTGTGCCATCATACATGTACCTAGAGTAATGATGTCCATCTCAGTCCACCATCTTTTCTATCCTCATAACTTTTCCCTCTTCCCTTTGAGAGATAGTCTTGCTGGATTACTAAAATGGCCTTGAACTTGCAATCCTTCTGCCTCAGCTTCCTGAGTTGATGGGATTACAGGTGTGTGCCACTATGCCCAGCTAAAAAATTACTTTTTTTTTGCCTAGGTTCAAACTCAGGGCTTTGTGCATGCTAGACAAGTGCTCTGATACTGAGTTAAATCCCCAACCCCAAGAATTGCTTTTTTTAAGCAAATACTTTTTGAAATGTAAAAAGTATGTGACTAAATAATTTTTCTTTTAATACTTAATAGTATGTTATAAAAGTAATATTGAATTCTAGAATAAGGAGACAAACTGTGCTTAATAGAACTAGATTATGTCATACATAGGAAGAAGTTCAACAAAGTCAGTGGAACATAAAAATACTAATGAGGTAAATATGATTAGAAGCAAGAAAATTCAATCTGTAACTGAATTATTGTTTGCCTTTTCTAGATTCATATATGGAATTTTTTCTTTTTTAAATCAGTCTCAACATTAGATTATTTAGTTGAAATCATATTTAGATTATTTTGTTGAAATCTACCACATTTCAGATCTGAGAAATTATTCCCTTTATTAAAATGTATAAAAAAGATTGAATAATCTTAATCTAAATAATGTGTTCTAAACAAAACTCTCCAGAAACTGTAGGTTAATACCCTGTCTCTGTTTAATAATATACTTTTTGCTGTTAAAATAACCTCACTGCTTTTGTCTGATGGTTTAAAACACAAAACAAAAATTTTTTTTTTCATAAAACTTTTATATATTCAGGCATATAAAAATTAAAGTGGGGGGGCTGGGGTTGTGGCTCAGAGGTAGAGCGCTCGCCTAGCATGAGTGAAGCACTGGGTTCAATCCTCAGCGCACATTAAAAAAATAATAAAATAAATATATTGTGTTCATCTATAACTAAAAAATAAATATTTTTTTAAAAACTAAAGTGGAAAATATTTTTTTGGCAGTACTAATACTAGGGATTGTACCTGGAGATACTAGTGGATTGTACCACTAAGCTACATCCCCAGCCCTTTTTATTTTTTCCTCTCAAGACATTGTCTTGCTAAGTTGCTGAGGCTGGTCTCAGACCTGTGGTCTTCCTGAAAATCATTTTAAATTCCACTTCCTGGAATAAACTATGCTATGTCCCTTGGCAAAAGAAATTGGCTAGGTATTTCCTAAAATATCTTCTCATTTAATGAAGAATCAATTTTTAAATTTAATTGTTGACAAAAGAGCATTTTTAAAAAGAGACTTCTACCATTGCTTCCAAGATTTTCTTCTAACCACTGATATCCTACATGTTTTTATGCTATTTTCCTTTTCTTCCCTTTTCTTTCTTTCCATATAACTTCAAAGCAGAAATTTATTCAAACTAACAGAAAAGTTACAGCTTATACAGGAACTCCCACATACCCTTTACAACCCAATACAGTGGTTGTTTACATTTTGTTCCATTTGATTTTTTTATGCATTTGTCCATCTGTTTGTCTGTCTACCCATACATTCATTCATACATCCAATCCATCTATGTATCCTTTCCTTCCCCCTTTCCAGAACTATCTAAGAGCAAAATGGATGTTTTATCTCTGAATATCCTCAGTCTGTATTTCCTAAAACAAGGATATTTTCTTATATAGTGACAACTTGTTAAGTTTAACACTGATACAATCCTGTTAGCTCATCCAGAATCTATATTCAAATTTCTTCAGTTATCCCAGTAATGCTCTTATAGTTTCCTCTTCCCCAAACTCAAGGCTCAGCTTAGGTCATTGCTCATTACCTTTAGTGATCAAACTTCTTTAATATGGACAGTTTCTCAGTCTTTTGTTTGTTTATTTGCTTTGACATCAACATTTTTAGAAAGTACAGGACCATTATTCTGGTAAATATCTATCATTTTGGAATTATCTGATATTTTGAGTAGATTCAAAGTATGGGGCCGAGCACGGTGGTGCATGCTGTAATCCCAGTGTCTCATGAGGCTGAGGTAGGAGTTCAAAGCCGGTCTCAGCAACTTAGTGAGTCCCTAAGCAACTTAGTAAGACCCTGTCTCTAAATAAAATATAAAAAAGGCCGGAGATGTGGCTCAGCCTTTAAATGCCCTAGGTTTAATCCCTGGTACAAAAAAAAAAAAGGAAAGAAAGAAAGTACATCTTCTTGTGTAGGAATCTGTTACTAATGTTATGAGAAGCTGACAAAGAAAATGCTTAGATGATAAACAGAACTTAATATAATTCCTCAAATGATCTTTTAATGTCTGTAACACCAAGGGGTTGCCATTGTTCCAGTCATGCACCAGTAATAATAAGCAGTTTGTGAATTCAGAGGTAATGACAACTTCATCTACATTGCTGATAATAGTTGGCAGATGTCATCAGTTTTAAAATGCATACTTATTTACTGGTGTTAAAGTGTGAAAAAATGTACACCTCAGATTCAGTTGCAGTCTGTGTTTCTGAACTGCCCTCCAAAAACATTCCCCTAATTATTTCCCCACCAATATTAGTGTACTCTTTCCCAGTTCTTTTGACAACATTTAGATCAGTGGTCCATTAAATATTTGTCTATGTAATAAGTAAAAAAGACATTTTATGCTAAGTGCAGTGGTACACATCTATAATCCCAGGTACAAGGGAGGCTGAGGCAGGAGGATTGCAAGTTCAAGGCTAGCCTTAGCAATTTAGCAAGATCCTCAATAATTCGGCAGGACTTTGTCTTAAAATAAAAGGACTGGGAGCTGGGCTGGAGTTTGTGACTCAGTGGTAGACAGCTTGTCTAGCATGTGTGGATCACTGGGTTCAATCCTCAGCACCACATAAAAATAAAATAGGGGTATGTGTCCACCTACAACTTAAAAAAATGTTTTAAAAAAGGATTGAGGGGTGTATATCATGATAAAGTGGCCAGAGTTTAATCCACCCCCAAAAAAGATATTTCATTATTAAGTTACATTTTAAAAATCGTCTATGAGGTTAAATGTGTCTTTATAATTTTGTCAAACATTCATATTGTTTTTGTGAAATGCTTTCTTATGTATTTTGTAATATTTATGTTGGTATGTTTCTTTTTCTTAATAATCTGTAGAGCGCCTTATTTTTGTATTTCATTTGCTTTTACTTTTATTTGTAGTGTTTTTTCACTATCACAAATGTTAATATTTTTATGTGGCTTAATCAATTCATATTTTTCCTTATGGATTCTGTCCTGTGTTCTATGTCATGCCTAGAGACTCCTTTAGAAACACTCTTTAAGGATATTCCTAATAAAAACATTTACTTTTAATTTTATAGTACTTTTACTAGTTTATGTGTGTTTGTATGTGGTGCTGGGGATTGAATCCAGTGCCTTGTGCATGTGAGGCAAGCAGTCTACCAACTGAGCTACATCCCAGCCCATTTTTTTTTTTGAACATTCAAGTAATCTGAAAAGTGTATAGATTAAGGTAAGAGTTAAGAACCTTAACTCTCTTACTGTTTTTTAAATACTTAGCCATTGATTAATAAGTGTTATATTTTTTCCCCAAGTTTTTCAGAGCCTTATTTTTATTTTTTTGCAGTACTGAGGATTGAACCCAGAGATACTCTACCACTGAGCTATAACCCCCCCCCCCCCCCCCCCCCTTTTTTTTTTTTTTGTAGTGCTGGGGATTGACCCAGGGCCTGTACGTGTGCCACAAGCACTGTACCAACTGAGCTATATCCCCAGGCGCTCCCCCACCCCACCCCCGCCCTTGCCCTCTTATTTTGAGAGAGGGTCTTGCTAAATTATTGAGGCTGGCTCCAAACTTTCCATCCTCCTGCCTCACCCAGCCTTCTGCATAGCTGGGATTACAGTCATGGTCTACTGTGCCTGGCTCAGAGCTTTTCTGTTGTAATCAAGTTAGGTTTTTAATGAGAGAATCATCCAATTTTGAAACAGTGGAAGCCTATTAGGCTGCTAATTCTTTCTTATTTTTTTTTTAATGTTTATTTTTTAGTTGTAGTTGGACACAATACCTTTATTTATTTATTTTTATGTGGTGCTGAGAATTGACCCTCATGCATGCTAGGCAAGCTAATTATTTCTAATGTTAGATTAATTTTTAACCCTTTCTGGGCCTCACCCAATGATTATCAATATTTCAGGTGATGTAAAAATTTGTAATTATCTATGAATTTTTATTTATCTACTTATGCCATTAAGTATAAGAAAAAATGGAGGATACACTGTGCTGCTCTATCATTTTTCCTCTGTTCCTATGGGTTTTTTTCTTTTCTTTTTTTTAATTAGTAAATGTTAGACATTATTACCTTTATTGTTTTTATTAAGGCAATGTTTTGATCCAAAATTCTTCTAGGTTAATATTCTCCCTAGTTCCTGGAGAATTGCATTAGGCTAGTTCTGATTTAGTAGAGTCAGTGGTGGGGCAAAAATTCTAGATTTCTAACATGTTTTCAGGTGTTCTTATAATGTGGCTCCAAAGATCACAATTTGGGAAGCAAGTCAATTAAGTGTTCTCACAAAGCTTTTTTTTTTTTTTTTTTAAAGAAGGAACTTTTCACTTTCCAGTTGTAATTTGTTTGAAAGTGCCTTGACTGAAACCATTGAAATATATTTGATTCCCTGTCCTACAAACTATGGAGTTAATGGTTATGCAGTCACTTAAAAGGGAGGACTTAATCATTGGAGTTGTTGGTGGGGGAAGAGTTTCTTACTTATTAGTTTACATTGTTCTATATTTAGAAAATGTGGATACAATTTTTAAAATGTGCATAACAGATAATAGATACATGTTTTCCTATTTTCAGGTTTGGTCTGAGATTGGAAAAGGCTTTCTAGATGGGTCACTTGATAAAAGTGCAACTCGGAAAAAACAATATGAAGATGGTAAGTTTGGTCATTCTTCATTTTTAATAAGGACAAAAAGATATGTGCCCCAGTTTTACTAGGGTTATATCTGAATAGTGAGATTACAAGTCATATAAATTTTTTTTCTCTTTATGCTTTTTTTCCTACGTTTTCTATAATACAAGGTTTTTGTTTGGTTTGGTTTCTGGTTTTTTAACAAAAGAGAAGAAAAAGTAGGGAGTAAGTACAAAGATACTCTAGTACTCACTGCAAAATGAGTACACTCTACTAGATTCATGAAAAACATAAGGGTATAATCCTAAAAAGGTAGTTTGACAGTACATATTAGAGTCATAAATAATGGATAAAATATCTAGAAAAAAGAAAATATTCGGGCTGGGGATGTGGCTCAAGCGGTAGCGCGCTCGCCTGGCATGCGTGCGGCCCGGGTTCGATCCTCAGCACCACATACAAACAAGGATGTTGTGTCTGCCAAAAACTGAAAAATAAATATTAAAAAATTCTCTCTCTCTCTCTTTAAAAAAAAAAAAAGAAAATATTCATGAATATTTTTATGTGTGTAGTGCTGGGGATCAAACCTAGGACCTAGAACATACTAGTCAAGTTCTCTGTCCCTAGGCTTTACTCTTGTTCCTTATTTTTTGTAATATTATTTCTTTTTTTTTTTTTTTTTTAATAATTTTTAGTTGTCAATGGACTTTTATTTTACCTATTTATGTGGGGCTGAGAATCGAACCCAGTGCCTCGCACATGATAGGCAGGCGCTCTGCCACTGAGCCACCACTCCAGCCCCTGTAATACTATTTCTGTAAATAGAAAACTGAAAATAAACTTAAGAGTCCAACATTATAGGAATTGCTAAGAAAATAATGTCAATATGATTAAGTAATATATAGCTATTTGTGAAAAACAAAAAAAAAAAATAGCAACAAAAAATTCTTGCCATTAAAACACTGAGTAAAAATATTTTCAAAATTGTTCAGCATTAATTATGACTTTATAATATTTACACTAAAAAATAGCAACTAGGATAGCTTCCCCAATTTATTTTCTCTTGGTCTTTTGTTGTTGTTGTTCTGTATTTTCTGTCAATGGTTGATTGATTTTAATGTTTTAATATTTTTATTCTGACCTGCTTCTATTCCTTTTCTTGGAAGCAGGCAGAGTAAATTCAAATGCATAGTCTTGCTGAGCCTAGTGGCTTGTGTCTGTAGTCCCAGCTATTGGGGAGGCTGAGGTGGCAGGATTGCTTGAGCCCAGGATTTGAGGCTAGCCTGGCCAACATAATAAGACCCTGTCTTAGGCTGGGGATATAGCTTAGTTGTTAGAGTGCTTGCTTAGCATGCACAAGGCCCTGAGTTCAATCCCTAGCATCACCAAAAGAAAAAACAAAAAACAACAACAAAAAGAACCTTGCTCTCTTTCTATAATAGGACCCTGGACCCTGTCTCAAAAACAAACAAAAATATGGGCTGCATTGGAATAATGGTTATTTTCATGTATAATACTGTTGCTTCACAAGATTCTCTTCCTTCATTCTTTTTTTTAACTATTTTTAGTTGTAGATGGACACAATATTTTTATTTTATTTATTTATTTTTATGTGGTGCTGAGGATCGAACCCAGCGCCTCACGCACGCAAGTCAAGCACTCCACCACTGGGCTACAACCCCAGCCCTCTCTTCATTCTTTTAACAAATTTTTATTGTGGTTTACTATGTACTAGGCCCTATTCTAGGCACAGGAGATAAACTCCCTATCCTCATTGGCTTGGTATTCTAGTGATTACCTTGATGTCCAACAGAAATTTTTTTAAAAAGTCTTTTAATGGACACAATTTGGTTTTTATTACCATTCTGATTATCTTTATGGATGATTTGGATTAAGTACTCTTGATAAAAAAAATGTATTTCAGAGATATTAGTTAAATTAACATAAAATGAAAATTTAATATTTTTTTATTCCAAATAAAAATAGATTGTCTGTTTATGTTCCTTGGCCTATCACATGGACATAAATCAAATTTGAGCTTTTATTGAAAATAATTATGTTTTGGTACCTATCAATGGAATCCCTTGAGTAGAGCAAAGCTTCCTTTGTTCAACTAATTCCCAACTTGTCCTGCTGTCATGTGGGGTCTCTAACCTAGGAAAAAGATTTGACTTCCAGCAGGTGAAAGAAGGTGCAAGACAGTTAGGATAGTAGACATGCTTTATTCAGCCTCCAGTTTCAGCTTTAGCACCCAGCCAGTTCCAATTTGCCTCTATTTAGCCCTGGAGTCTTTTCCATAGGCCTTTTTTATATGTAGGTCAAACAAAGAAGACCCATTGCCAACAGGTTACATAAGGGGGCTCATGCTCACAAGTCAGTGTTTACGATCTTGAGTATATATACAGAATCAAAGTGTTTCTGGCCGTGACTAACCTATAACATAGCAGGTTCTCAACCCTGGCTCCACATTTAAAACATAACATAACATAATCTGCAGGAAATCTCAGCGAGGGAGCCCAACTACAGCCATTTTAGGCCTGCCCTAACACCTGCACATTAGAATCCCTTGGGGAACTTAAAACAAAACTTGATCATCAGGCCCTTTTCAGGACTAATTTCTCCAAAGCCCTGGGAATCAGTCAGATTATTTTGGAAGTGCTCTCCAAATTATTCTAATGTACTTATAGTACTGAGAATGTATAACAGTAATTCCCAAATATTGCTACACACTGAATTTTTAAAATATATATTGAAGCCTTCCCTCTACCTGCAAGCATTCAGATTTACTTGGTATAATGTGTGACTTGTGAATTACTATTTTTTAAAAAAGCTTCCCACGTGATTCTAATGTGTAACAAAGTTTGGGTATTACTGATTTATGCTCATTTTCACCACTGATGTATCAAATTCATTCAGTTTTATAAATATTTAATGAAATTTTGTAATATTCTGACATGTTTTAGGTGCGGGGAAATGTCAGTAAACATAAAAAATCATGCCCTTATGGCTCCACATTCTAGTGGGAAGAGACAGACAAGGGTCTAAAGTAAATTGAATAGAGTGTTAAAAAGTAAAAAATGCTGTAGAAAAAAATAAAACTATCAGGAGGTAGAGAGGTTACAATTTTAAGTAAGTATTAGGACAGGCCTCACCAAGATGAGATTATTTTTGAGCAAATAGTTGCATATTGTGTGAATGCTCAGATGTCCAAAGGAAGATTATTTTGTGTAAAGGAAATACAATTGCAAAGTCTTTGAGATGGGACTCTTCCTGGTATATTTGAAGCCAGTATGGCTAATGTGAAGTGGTTGCAAAAGGAGCAGAAGCAGGTGAACTCAGAAGACTGGAGAGAGTAACAGAATGTGTGTGGGTTATAGGCCATTGTATGAGTAGGTTGTTACTGTGTGATAGGATGCCAGTGGATGGCTTTAGCAGAATTATGATCTGAGTTATATTTTAGTAAAGCATCAGCCTGGCTCTTGTGATGGACTACAGGAGCCCAGAGCAGAAGTGGGGAGACTAATTACAGGGCTATTGCAGAGAAGCAGGCAAGAGAGATGATGTGACTAGGACCAGGCGTCAGACAACGGAAAATAAAGAACAAAATAGCAATAAAAAATTAATACGTATTTTGAGAAAATAACCAGAAACATTGATTGACAGGTTAAATGTGGAGTAAAAGGGGGGAGAAAATAAGATGTTAGGCCTGATTAACTGGAAAATGAGGTTATATTAGTAAAGAATAAGATGAGGAAGACTGCGGAAAGATACAGGTTTTGTTGAAATTGTCAAAAGTTCAGCATGTTGGTTATGTTTTTATTAATATGCTTCAGACCTCCCATTAAAGATGTTAAATTTGTTTTTAAATCTGAGTCTGGAGCTTTGGGGAAAGATGTCTGGATGAAAAGCAAAAATATGGAAGTGTTCAGTAATTAGATTTAAAGCCTTAAGACTAGAGCTCACTTCTTGACTTGGGTGAAAATGATGTGGGTGTTTGTATTTATTCCTTGGACTGTACTTATAGTTTTATGTACTTTTGGGAATGCATCTTAAATTGAACAAAAAGAAGGGGGAAAGAAGTAGACAACTTTCAATATAAATTATCTTTTTAAATTATTGTTTACTACCTTTAAAGGTTTTATTCTTCATGTGGGAACATTGTGCAGAATTAATTTTCAAAACTTGAATCCTGCCTGGTAGGTAGCGCACGCCTGTAATCCCAGCAGTTTAGGAGGCTGAGGCAGGAGGATTGTGAGTTCAAAGCCAGGCTCAGCACCTTAGCAAGGACCTAAAGAACTCAGTGAGGCCCTGTCTCAAAATAAAATACAAAAAAGTTCTGAGGATGTGGCTCAGTGCTTAAGCACCCCTGGGTTCAGTTCCTGGTATCAAAAAAAAAAAAAAAAAGTTGAATCCCCACAACTGCTTGTATTCTAAATGTTCTTTGTGTTTCTTCTCTAAGCCCTCATGCAATTGGAATCTGTTTTAAAGAAAATCATAAAAGAACGAAAAGGAAGGAACTTCAGTCAACATATTTTCATTGACTCCTTAGTACAGGGAAACCTTAATGACCAACAGGTGATGTAATTGTTAAATGTTTATCAAATAAAAAATTGTTAAATGTTTATCAAATTCACTGTAATCCAGATGCCCTCCTGGAAACTCAGTGGCTTCTCTCTTATTACACATCATAAATGGCCCAAGTATTCAATCTCATTATTTAGCTCTTTGTAGAAGCAATATATTATTTAATATTTGGGTAAGCTAGGGGCTGGGGATGTAGCTCAGTTGGTAGAGTGCTTGCTTTACATGCACAAGGTTCTTGGTTCAATCCCCAGCATCACCAAAAAAAAAAAAAATTGGGCAAGCAAATATTGAGTTAAAATTCTGTAACGATAACAGAGGAGGACTTATGTAGCCCTCATAGACTGAGTCCCTCTGTCGATATGACCAGGTGTGGCAGCTGGGCTTGTTCACTGTGCTCAACTATTACTGTTAACACACCACTGCATTTATGGTATGTCAGGCAAAGGACAGGAATGTCATCATCGCCACATTCATTCCTCTTTGGAATCTTCTTCCATTTGACACATGGAAATCCTGGTAGCCAGAATGATTTTCTAGCTACATCCCCAGCCCTTTTGGTGCAGAAATTGAGTCAGGTTCTGAGCACCGTGTCAGCTCTTTTCTATTCTTTCTCTATTTGGTGCCTCAGGCCAAGCCATAAAAATAGAACTGAACCAGTTTTCAAGGTATAACATAAGCCAATAATATTACCAACAGAAAAATGCATATTTTATTGCATCAAAAACATAGTGCAGTATTTAGGTTAGTTTTCACATTATACAGATTTTGTTTTTGTTAAAACGTGGTAATAAGATAATATACTTTTAAAAAAATTTTTGTTGACCCTGCTTAAATATTCTAGATTATGTGAATAGGGTCTAATACAGGCCAACTGACATTTCATACCTTTATTTTTTTTTGTAATTGTATATGGACAGAATGCCTTTATTTTATTTGCTTATTTTTATGCTGTGCTAAGGATGGAACCCAGTGCCTCACACGTGCTATGCAAATGCTCTGCCATTGAGCTACAGCCCCAGCCCACATTTCATACTTTCTAAACTTAATTTTGTGTCCTAGGTCCTAGAAGACAGTATGATATTTTCTCTGGCTGGTTGCATAATAACTGCGAAATGTAAGTATAAATTGATGTCTTTTTCAGATGGATTACAAAGTACACAAGGCTACAGCTATTCTAAAATAAACACTGTTTGCAAGACCTCTTTATAATTTCCTTCCCTGCTTATTATTCTTGTTTAAAGGCTTGATTCACACAGGTTCCCCCTACTTTTTTTTTTTTTTACCTGAAGTGCTCAATGCCACCTCTGAAAATTGCTATAAATTTCTTGACACATTTTATAGATTGTGAATTCTAGTTAGTGCCTTTAAAATGAACTGCTATTGACACCTTTCCAGCTGAACAGTGAGCTTTTCCATTTCCTGCTGCTGCTTTTCACTGACTTCAAGCCAGTCTGCTGTTATTAAGGTCTCCAACAGAGGATGTAGGCCACAGAAATCATGATCTAAAAGAATTCCTCTCTTGTTGGAATTGAAGGTGATTTTTATTTAAAATTCTAAGATGTATGCTTTAAGTTTCCTTGCTGGTTTTTAGATTAATGGAGTACTGTTCATTTGTACTGTATTTATAAAAGTGTTTATAGACATATATAAGATAAATGCTTATAGGAGGGATTTAAGGTAGCAGTTTAAAATCTAGAAAATTTATTTTCACTGGGAGGATTTCATTGATAGCTCTTTCTGTTTAGGGAAGTTTTCTGTAAAATGATGAGTATATATGTAAACTTCCCATGATTATTTTGTCCAGATATTATAGATTAAATGAAATATATGCAAGCATGTGTTAAGAATAATGTATTTATCTTCTTAAATAATCCTCACTTATTTAAAAAATGTTATTACATTAAAAATATATCTTTAGGCTGGGAATGTGGCTCAAGCGGTAGCGCGCTCGCCTGGCATGCGTGCGGCCCGGGTTCGATCCTCAGCACCACATACAAACAAAGATGTTGTGTCCGCCGATAACTAAAAAATAAATATTAAAAAATTATCTCTCTCTCTCTCTCTCAAAAAAAAAAAAAAATTTCTTTGAAGGGGCTGGGAGTATAGCTCAGTGGTAGAGTGCTTGCCTAGCTGGCTTGAAAACTTCAGAAAATCTGAATCAATGGTATTCTGGTTACCACAAAAAGGGACTGTTTCCAGGTTGAATTGATCTTTTAATCTGATTTTCAGTTTTTAGGGAGTTTTCAAGAGTATTTGTTTGCTACCACTGAGCTACATCCCCATCCCTATTTATTTATTTGGTACGGGGATTGAACCCAGGGACACTTAACCACCGAGCTACATCCCCAGCCCTTTTTGTATTTTATTTAGAGATGGAGTCTTGTTGAGTTGCTGAAGCTGGCTTTGAACTTGTGATCCTCCTGCCTCAGCCTTCTGAGCCTTTTTATTGTATTTTGAGACAAGGTCTTGTTAATTTGCTGGCCTTGAACTTGCCATCCTCCTGTCTCAGCCTTCTGGGTCACTGGAATTACAGACGTGTGCCATTGTGCCCAATTTCTGGTCAGTTTTATATTTAAAGAACATTAAATGTCTTCATGGCCTTGTAAATACAGGTAAATGCTCTACCACTGAACTATATCCGCAACCCGTCATACTTTGTAATTGAGTTCTACAAGAAAAGCCAATGTTTGATGTTGGTGGGACTGAAAATTGATGCAACCAATCTGTAAAGCAGTATGGAGATTTCTAAGAAAACTTAGAATGGAACCATCATTGACCCAGCTATCCCACTCCTCAGTGTATACCCAAAGGACTTAAAATTAGAATACTATAGTGACACAGCCACATCAATGTTCATAGCAGCTCAATTCACAATAGCCAAACTGTGGAAGCAACCTAGATGCCCTTCAATAGATGAACAGATAAAGAAACTGTGGTATATATACACAATGGAATGTTACTCAGCAATAAAAGAGAATAAAATTATGACATTTGCAGGTAAATGGATGGAGTTGGAGAATATCATGCTAAGTGAACTAAGCCAATCTCCAAAACCAAAGGCCGAATGTTCTCTCTGATAAGTGGATGCTGATCCATAATGGGAGGGGGGATGGGAAAAATGGAGGAACTTTAATTGGGCAAAGGGGAGGAAGTAGTGGGGTGTTGATAGGGGCAGGAAAAATGTGGAATGAGATGAACATTATTACCCTAGGTACATGTATGATAGCACATATGGTTCGACACTACATCTTGTATAACCAGAGAAATGAAGAGTTGTGCTGCATTGGTGTACAGTGAATCAAAATGCATTCTGCTGTCATATATACCTAAACAGAATAAATTAATTAATTTTTTTAAAAAGTCAGTATTTAAGATTATTAAGCTTATCTGGTTATATTACTTGTAAGTGATAATAGAGGCAGGCAGAGCATATGAGTGCTATTTTATGCAAATCTTTGTGCTAATTCCTTCAGTTGTAAAATTGTACTACATATACACATGGTGCACTGCACAAGTTTTCACACCACTTGTGAAATAGAAATTCTGTAGTTCACTCAAAAGCCAAAATGAAGAAATATATGTAGGGAAAATTTAAAGACAGGTAGTAGTAATTCATGAATGATTGAGTGCCAGGTAGCTCACTATTTTAATGTGAACAATATGAGTAATTGGTGATTCAGACAAAAAAAAAAATTTAAATTAACTTTAGGGCTGGGGCTGTAGCTCAGTGATAGAGTGTGCAACATGTATGAGGCTCTGGGTTTCATTCCTACCACTGCAAAAATAAAAATTAAAAATAGAAAATTAGCTTTGAGTCAGTCTTTACTCCAAGAAGCAGATGATTGGTAAGTAGAGGTAAAAGTTACTATAGCAGGGCTGGAGTTGTGGCTCAGCTGTAGAGCTCTCGCCTATCACTTGTGAGGCCCTGGGTTCGATCCTCAGCACCACGTAAAAATAAATAAGTGAAATAGAGATATTGTGCCCAATTGCGACTAAAAAGTAAATATTGTTTTTAAAAGGTTACCATAGCATTCAAAAAGTATCTGACTTAGAAAAAGTGGAGTTACACATAGTGTCAGCTTGTATATGACAGGATGGTTTCATTCCTTAATTCTAATCCCAGTCGATCCCTAAAGGAATATAACTACTCTATTTCCTTTGTTTTTTGTTCTAAATGTAACTTTCTTACATTTCCACTTCCTCAGTGAATATTATAATGCATAAACCAGTTTAAAGCAAAAACAAGCCATGAGCCAGCAATTTTCCAATTTAGGTGTTCATCAAAGTAACTATCTGTAATCCTGCTTCTGGGGAGGCCAAGCCAGGAGGATTGCAAATTCAGGGCAAGTCTTGGCAATTTAGTGAGAACTTGTCTTGAAATAAAAGGCAGTCTCAGAGCCAGGTGCAGTGGTGCAGGCCTGTAATCCCAATGGCTTGGGAGGCTGAGACAGGATGATCTCAAGTTCAAAGCCAACTTCAGCAATTTAGCAAGTTGCTAAGCAACTCAGCAAGACACCATCTCTAAATAACATACAAAAAAAAGGCTGGGGGTTTGGCTCAGTGGTTAAGTGCCTGTGGGTTCAATACCCAGTACCAAAAAAAAAAAAAAAAAAAAAAACAAAGGCAGTCTCAGTGGTAGAGCGTCTGCCTAGCATGTGTGAGGCTCTGAGTTTAAAATCCCCAATACCACAAACATAAAAAAAGAGATGTAACTGTCATACTTGTTAAAAGTATGGATGTATGGACCTCACCCCAGACCTACTGAATTAGAATCTGTACGTGTGAAATTGTGGCGTCAACCAACTGCCAGGTGATTTTTGAGAACGACTGTCCTAAGCAATAATCAGTCACGGTTCTTGGAGCCAGTATATTTACCATTACAAGCAAAAAAAAATTAGAATATTGATATTCAGACAAATATCCTGCTAGTCTGATATATATGGGTCATTCATTCATTAGTGAATGAACTGATAAGTCAACTTTTAAATTTTACAAGGTCAAGTGAACAATATCATTCCTCACAGTTACCAACATTGAACTCTTCCCCAGATAGAAAGTTTACTATCATCATTTTACTTAAGGTAAAATGCATTGAATGACTTGTTACTTGCACTACCTGTTTTTGGTAACCTCTATAAATATTCATGTTCTATTTAATGAAATACAAATCCTGTCAAAATTTTATTCTTTGGTAATACTTATGTATCGTCTATATCAGGGGAGGGAAAAATGAAATTTAAAAAATCCCAAACCACTAGTTTTTTCTTGTTATATGCCCCAAATATGAATTAACTGTTTTCATTGTTATAATTTTTCACTTAGTGTGCACCTGGGCAATCTGTTTTTTAACTACTTCTGAAGAAGTTCAAAGAAAACTACATGAAGAGGTAGACCAAGTATTTGGGAAGGGTCCTATTACTCCAGAAAAAATTGAGCATCTCAGGTAAGAACTAAAAAGGAAGAAGAGATCATTAAAAAGCAAATTTGAATTAGTTTATCTAATTTAAAGCTAATGTTAATATCTAGGAAACCTGTATAATTTCATAGGATTTCAAATATTTACATATAGATTTGAATGGATAATTTAATCTCCTGTTTTAAATAATAAAGTAGTTCTGGGAACCTTTAATGAGCCTGTATAAAATATTGCTGTTAGGCAGTTGGGACATCCATGTTTGTTAGTGGTAATACACAATGGTACAGCTAGTTGGGAAATAGTGTGGTAGAATTTTATGAAGTTAAGTATACACTTTCCATATGAGTCAGTAATCACTTGTAGGTAATTAGTCAAGAGAAATGAAAACATGTTCATGTAAGGACCAGTATTGCAAATGTTCATAGCAGAATATTCCAAATAGCTCAAAAATGGAATCAGTTCAGTTTTTACCAACTGTTAAATAGATGAGCAAATATTGGTATAACCATAATATGTAACACTACAAAATAATAAAAGAAATATAATGTCAATGTACACAGCAAAATGGGTGAATATCATTATGATAAGTAAAAGAAGTAAAACGAAAGACTTTCTACTGTTAGTGCAGTGGCACACACCTATAATTCCAGCAGTTTGGGAGACTGAAGCAGGAGGATCACAAGTTTGAAGCCAGCCTTAACAGCTTAGCCAGACCCTGTCTCAAAGTGAAAAATAAAAAGACTGGGGATGTAGTTCAGTGGTAAAGTATCCCTACCATCCCCAGTACTGAGAGGAAAAAAAGAAAGAAAAGACTGCCTATGGTATGATTTTATTTACATGAAATTCTAGAAAAGACAAAAGTATAGTGATAGAAAGCCTTGAATATTGCTTCTCTCCAATTCATTCTCCAAAGTGCTGCTGGAACCTGTGGCTCACACTTAGGCCCCTTTAAAAATAAAGATATGTGGGATCACACCTGTAATCCCAGCTGTTTGGGAGGCTGAGGCAGGAGAATCACAGGCGTGTGCCACCATTGGGGTGCAGCGCTCTTCTTTCCTGGCATTTGCATAGACTATTTCTGTGTGTAGATTCTTTCTTTTCCTCTCTTCTCTAGCTAACTTCTAAAAATTTTTTTTGCAGGTCTTAAACTAAGTTTTTATTTCTCTGCAGAGCCCTTTCCCTCAATTAGGTATTCTTGCTATGTGTTCTCATAATACCCTGAACTTCCTTTATCATAACATATATGTCCCCTGCACTCTCTGTCCCTCTGTCAATAAGATTCTGACATCCTTGGGCATTATCTGGATTGTTCACTGTTGTATCTCATTATCTAGCAGTCTTCAAGTGTGAGTAGGTCCCCAATAAATATTTGTTCAAAAAAGGAAGGGAAAAGTGATGTTTCCTACTTTTGTTTCTTTTTTTATATTAGAAATATTACTATGCACAGTTACAACATTCCTATGCTTACTTCTTTTGTTAGTATTTCTAATTCTTTCTGTATAGTAAGTGCCTAGAAGTGAACTTACAGTTTACAGAGATTTTACAGCAGCACAGTGGTTAAGATTAGGAGCTATCGAGTAAGACAGATGTGTTTGAATCCTATCAGTACCACTTACCTGCTGTGTGAACCTAACAGTTGCTTTTAATTTAAATCTGTACATTCAGAATAATAAGAATTTCCATAGGATTTTTGTAAGGATTAGGTGAGATCCTATGTCTAAAATATTTAAGTGATCTGGGCATGGTAGATCAGTGGTTCAGCAACCCCGTGTTTAATCCCTGGTACCAAAAAAGAAAAAAAAAAAAAAATTATGTGAATTGACTTATGGCAAGATTGTAGTACATTTTAGCTTTTATTTTTCTCATTAGGATATTACAATATTTTGATATATTGTCAAATTATGCATTAGAAAGGTCATACCAATTTGTACTTCCACCAACTGAATATGAGATGTCTTTTTCTCCACTTTTTATTAGTAATGCCTATTGTCATTCTTTTTCATCTTTGCCAATTTTGCAAGTGAAAAAAAACTCCTTTGATTGGTTGAGTATAATTTCATTTATCTTCAGGCCATTTGTATTTTTTTGTGAATTTTTTAGTACCAGGGATTGACCCAAGGGTACTTGACCACTGAGCTACGTCCCCAGCCTTTTTTTTAAATTTTTAAGTTTTGAGACAGGGTCTCACTAAGTTGCCTAGAGCCTCACTGAGTTGCTGAGGCTGGCTTCAAAACTGCGATCCTCCTGCCTCGTCCTGTTGAGCCACTGGGATTACAGGCATGTGCCACCACACCCAGCTACAGTGTATTTTGTTTGTTTTATATATATATAGATAGTTGTAGATGGACACAATACCTTTTTTTTATTTTTATGTGGTGCTAAGAATTGAACCCAGCACCTCTCCTGTGTGCTGTATCACTGAGCTACAACTCTAGCCCTAGATGTGGTTTCATTTAAATTTTTATTCTTCTGGAATTTATGTACCTATCTCTAAGCAAGTAAAAATTATGATGAGATTACTTCAAATTAGGAAGGTTTGAGAAGTGGTGGAATGACATTAAAATGTATGGAAATTTTAAACTGCTACTCCCAAAATAAACATGTTCAAAATTGTTTTAAATTTTTTATTAAATTTATTTTTAACTGGCATATGAAAATGTAAAAATTATGTTGATTTATTGATATTAATGGGGTGCTATAATGTTTTGATACATATATGTATTATATAATGTTTAAATCAGATTAAGCATATCTTTAATTCATTTTGACTTGATTTTTGTTACTGGTGAGAGATAGGGGTTTGGTTTCATTCTTTTGCATGAGGATATTCAGTATTCCTGGCACCATTTATTAAAAAGACTGTGCTTTCTTCAGTGCAAGGATTTACTTCTAGGCTCTCTATTCTGTTCCTTGGTCCATGTGTATTTTTATGCCAACACCATGATATTTTGATTACTGTAGCTCTGTATACATTTTGAAGTCAAGCATAATGCCTCCTGCTTTGTTCTCTGCTCTTTTTTTTTTTTAAGGTTCCTGTTTTGTTTTGTTTTTTAATATTTTACTAGTTGTTGATGGACTTTTATTTATTTATATATGGTGCTGAGGATCGAACCCAGTGCCTCACACATGCTAGGCAAGCACTCTACCACTGAGCTACAACCCCAGCCCCTTTGTTCTTTTTTTGCTCAAGATGGCTTTGGCTATTTGAGGTTCCCTACAAATAAGGATTATTTTTTTCTAGTTCTGTGAAGAATGCCATTGTCTTTTGACAGAGATTACATTGACTCTTTAGATCTCTTTGGGTAATATGGACATTTAATAATATTGAGTTTCTGACCCACAAATACAGTATATCTTTCCATTTTTTGTGTGTGTACTTTTCAATCATTTCATCAATATTCTACAATTTTCACTCTAGAGACCTTTTGGTAAAATTTATTCCTACATTTTATCTTTTCTTTTTTTCTTTTTTTGGTAGCTATTATAAATGGGATAGCTTTCTTGGTTTCTGTTGCAGATCATTAGCTATTAGTATATAGCAACCCTATTTATTTTTGCATATTGATTCTTGTATCCTGCAACTTTGCTGAATTTGTTCTGATAGGCGTGTGTGTGTGTGTGTGTGTGTGTGTGTGTGTGTAATTTGGGGTTTTCTGTATATATGATCACATCATCTGCAAGGAGTGACAATGTGATTCCTCTTTTCCAATTTTTTTTTTGGTACTGAGGATTGAACTCAGGGGCATTCAACCACTTAGCCACATCCCCAGCCCCATTTTGTATCTTATTTAGAGACAGGGTCTCACTGAGTTGCTTAGCCCTTCGCTTTTTCAGAGTTTGGCTTTGAACTCTCAATCCTCCTGCCTCAGCTTCCCAAACTGCTGGGATTACAGGCGTGCACCACCATGCCCTGCTTCTTTTCAAATTTTCATGCCTTTTATTTCTTCTTTCGCCTGCTTGCTCTGGCTGGGACTTTCAGTACTGTCTTCAATAAAAGTGGTAAAAGTGGATATCCTTGTTCCAGATCTCAGAAAGCTTTCAGCTTTTCCCCAAAGTAATGTTAACAGTTGGCTTGTTATATATGGCCTTTATTTGTTGAGGTACATTCCTTCCATGCTTAATTTGTGCAATGTTTTTACAAAAAAGCAATGTTGAATTTCTTTTGTCTTTTTTTTTTTTAATTTTGAGATAATGTCTTGCTGAGTTGCTGAGGCTAGTCTTGAACTTGCTATCCTCCTGCCCCAACCTCCCAAGTCTCTGGGATTACAGATGTAAGCCACTGTGCCTGGTGGGATATTGAATCTTATCAAATGCTTTCTCTGCTTCTATAGAGAGATGATTTTTGATCTTCATTCTGTTAATGTGGCATATCATGTTTACTGACTTCATTAATATGTTTAAATTTTTTTTAAAACAGATATTGTCGGCAAGTGCTTTGTGAAACTGTTAGGACTGCCAAATTGACCCCAGTTTCTGCCCGGCTTCAAGATATTGAAGGAAAAATTAACCAATTTATTATTCCTAAAGAGGTAGGAAACTTTGGATATGTTCAACTCATTTAATTACTTAAATTTTTTTTCAATTGTATAAAGTGCCCGATAAATACTACCCATTATTAAATGAAAGATAATTATTTTACTTCATTTTATTTTGTTTTTTTTGGTACTGGAGCTTGAATCCAGAGACACTTAAACACTGAGCTATCTCCCCAGCCCTTTCTTTATTTTTTATTTTGAGACAGGTTCTCACTAAGTTGCTTAGGGTCTGACAAGTTGCTGAGGCTAATCTCAAACATCTGATCCTCCTGCCTCAGCCTCCTCAGTCTCTGGGATTACATGTATTTGGCACCATGCCCGGTTCCTGTTATCTTTTACGATTATTTATGGTTTTTTGTTGTTGTTGCTGTTTTTAACTGAATGCAGATTTTAAATTTTCATACAGTTAAGTCTGTTATTCCTACCTTCCTTTCAGATTTTGTGACTTTTAGGTAGGCCCACTCCATCACCAAAATAATGAAGTGTTTTCTTCTATTATTATATACTTTTATTTTGTTTCATTATCTGTATTAAAAGATATTTAGGATGAACTAATTTTCTGGGAGTCATTTTGTCTCTGTTAGGCCTTGATTAACTAGATTAATATTTTTTTTCAGACTCTTGTTCTTTATGCGCTCGGTGTGGTACTTCAAGATCCTATTACTTGGCCATCACCACACAAGTATGAAATTTCTGTTTATTGTCTTTGTGATTTTCTATTTTTTGTGTGTTTGCATGCTTTCATTCCTTTTCTGTGTTTTAAGGAGAAATTCAGTGTGCTGTGACATGCAACAGAAAGCACTGCCTTCCCTTTCTGTGTTCATTCACTGCTTCTTGTCTCCATGAATCTTCTGCTGCCGTCCCTTTTATTACTACGTCTATCCTAAGATCTGTTCAGTTATCTAATCTCTCCAACTATCTTTAATTTCAGTAGAATTTTGGAATTCTTTTATTGTTAAGTGGGTAGTTTTTTATTTTTTTTGTTTTTTAGTTTTAGGTGGACACAATATCTTTATTTTATTTTTATGTGGTGCTGAGAATCGAACCCAGTGCCTCACACATGCTAGGTGAGCGTGCTAGGCGAACATGCTACCACTTGACACAGCCCCAGCCCCTAAATGGGTTGTTTTTATGTTGCCCCTCCCTTTTGATTTCTCTCAACTATTTTCAGCTCCTTAGTAAAATTCAGAAACAGATGTTGTGTGTATGTGTCTCATGCAGGTAAACAGGAAGGCAAAGGTAAAGAAGAAAGCTACTGTTGTTTGCCTCATAGATGGCCATCTAGTAAAGTCTGACTTAAGATAGTAGTCTAGATTTAGTGCCCTGAGCTGGGTGTGGTGGCACATGCCTGTAATCCCAGTGGCTTTAGAGGCTGAGGCAGGAGGATTGCAAGTTCAAAGCCAGCCTCCACAATCAAGAGGCACTAAGCAACTCAGTGAGACCCCATCTCTAAATAAAGTACAAAATAGGACTGAGGATATGGCTCAGTGGTCGAGTACCTTTGAGTTCAATCCCCAGTACCCCACCCCCCAAAAAAAGGATAGATTTAGTGCCCTGGAAAAGGGTTATCAGTTGACTTCAGGTAAGACCTCAGTGTGAAATGCCAAGGGGCAGAGTTGAAGTACTGTGGACCTAAATCTGGAGTGTAAGGATGGGTGTGTTAAATGTTCTTGTCATTTTAGGTTTTAGTATTACAATGACATTAAAGGAAAATCTTAATAAATTTAACACCAGCCAATTCAAATTTTGCTAAGTAAAAATTATTTAGGTAAATTTTAAATTTCTAATGGCTTTTATAGGAAAATGAAAAATGCTTTGATGGAAAATATATACCTATAATTACAAAAAAATAAAATTATAAGTTTTAAGATTTTAAAAAATACTTGTGGAAAAAGTGCCAAGATTTTGATAAGTTTTAAGTGTTCTATGAAAACTATAGAAATTATATTATAACTTTTTTTTTTTTGTACTTGGGATTGAATCCGGGGATGCTTAACCTCTGAGCCACATCCCTTTTTTATATTTTATTTAGAGACAGAATCTCGCTGAGTTGCTTAGGGTCCCATTAAATTGCTGAGGCTGGCTTTGAACTCACAATCCTCTTGCCTTTGACTCCTGAGCTGCTGGGATTATAGGTGTGCACCACCATGCCCAGCCTTTATTATAACTTTTGATAGTATTGCTATCATGCAACTGCTCAGAGAATCTAGGTTACAGATTGAAAATATTAAAAGGAATAGATGCACAGTGGTAATCATTTCTAGGCTTTTCTTTTTTTCCTATTGTCCTAGGGCTCGAATCCCGGCCCCTTGTACATTAGGCAAGTGCTCTACCACTGAGCTGTATCCAAGCCCTCATTTTAGAATGTAATCACACTTAGGAGATATAGGTGACATTTTTCTGAAGCAAAGATTTCTGAAGCTGGGCACTTCCTTACTCATCTAAGGATTCATTCTTGTAGGTACCTTAAGCAAAAACTTACTCTAACAGAAATATATATAGAAGTGAGATGCACCTGTTGGACACAATGGTTTACTTATAGGGTAAATATAATATTCACACAGAAGAGGATGAGGAGAGTGACTTTTTCCACTAAACTGGATGTCTTCAAGGTCCAGGTAGATTGTTTTATGTCCTTTTATGGTTGAGTAAGATTCCATTGTATTGGTATACTAGAATTTATTCACCATTCATCTGCTAAAGTTGAGTTGTTTCCAGTGTTTTGCTACTGTGAATGAAACTGCTGTGAACAGCTATACAGGTTTGAGTTTGAATATAGGGTTTCATCTTGGGGACAATAGGCATACACCACCTCATCCAGCCTGCCCCCATCTTCTGCCCCCTGCTCTTTTTCCTCTTTTTAAACTTCAGAGTTTTGCTTTTTTAAAATACCTCTGTATTTGGAAGGAATTTTTATGTTGCATGATAGTAAGTTATTTTTAAGATATTCATTTCTGCAGTGACAATTTACAGAACAAAATTCTAAAAACAAAAAACTTTTCCTAGCGCCTTCATTTTCCTCAATTATTAATAAATCTGGGTATAGTATAATTGATAAATATAATTTTAAGGCCTGAGCCTCCAGTTTTAAGAAGTAAAATTTAACTAAAGAAGCAATGTAAAATGCCCACATATTGATCCTATGTAACAGGCCTTAAAATTATTTAATATTCATTATTTGATTTTTGTGTGAATTATCCTTGTATCTCATGAAATGATATAAACCTATGTAGCATTCCTTCTTAGTTCTGAGAAACGTATTTTACATTTATTTGAAAATCATGAAGTGTAATTTGGCAACATAATGAAATATAACATGACAGCACTTTTTATTTTTAGCAAATGTTAGATTTTATTACAAACTTGTGTTCTTTTATGTCAATATTTAAAAGGCCAGTGGAGCTATATTATAATTAACCCCCAATTTTCTCTTTAGGTTTGATCCAGATCGCTTTGATGATGAATCAGCAATGAAAACTTTCTCTTTGCTTGGATTTTCAGGCACACAGGAATGCCCAGAGTTAAGGTGAATGATAGAAAAAATGAGAAAGAAAAAAATACCAGACTCTCCTTTTGTAATTTTGACAATTACTATTGATGAGAATAATGAATCTATATAAAAAGGGTATAATTTGAAAATTTGGTAACTGGTTGCCTTTCTTTCTGACTAGGTTTGCATATATGGTGACCACTGTGCTTCTCAGTGTGTTGGTGAAGAGACTGCGCCTACTCTCTGTAGAGGGACAAGTTATTGAAACAAAGTATGAACTGGTCACATCATCAAGGGAAGAAGCTTGGATCACTGTCACAAAGAGACATTAAAATTGTAAACATTTAAAATCTTTGTTAAATCAACTGAGGAAAATGGCCATTTAGAAAATATGTGTTGGATCCTTTTATAAACCAAGTATTATAACATAAACACTATTACTTCATTATGTAAATTTGGATTTTTATATATATTATTTTCTTAGGGCATGATACACATTTATCCTTATTGCACCAGTATATGGATAATTTTAATAGGCAGCTTTAATTTTCTACTTTTAGTTTTTATGATTTTCTAAGCCATGATTTTCATCTTCTTTTTCTTAGCTTGATCTCTAAAATTCTTGAACAGAGAAATTATTTTGAACAAGTTGGGGAATCATGTTTTTGAATATTCACACATACAAAAAAAATTCGGTCTCCACACACCAAGAAGTCCTGACTCCTTTTTATATTTCCAATAAATCACCTTAAAGGGAAATAATGGAACTTCCTATAGTTTTATTTCCTGGATTGTTTTTATTTTGGGACTGTTTATTAGTTTGTGTTTTAATCATTTTTATTAGGTTTGAATTGTTCATTGACCAATCTACCTTGCATTTGATGTTTGTTTGCCTCCGCACACACAGGGTTCATTTAATGGTTTACACAAGGCTCATCGTTTTGAACAGTTCTCACTCATTTGGAAAATAATGTAGTTGCTTCTGAAAGTGTATGTTTTGTTTGTTTGTTTCCAGTACCAGGGGTGCTCTACCACTGAGCTACATCCCAAACACTTTTTTTTCCCTTGAGACGGGGTCTTGCTAAATGATTGAAGCTGGCCTCAGATTTGTGATCCTCTAGCCTCAGTCCCCAAATAGCTGGGATTACCAGCATGCACCACTTTTGCTGGGCTTCAGTGTAGTGTCTGTGTGTTTTTTAGTACCAGGAGTGCTTAACTACTGAGGTACAACTCCAAAACCCTTATTTTTTATTTTGATACGGGTTCTCACTAAATTGCTTAGGGCCTTGCTAAGTTTCTGAGACTGGCTTTGAACTTGTGATCCTCTTGCCTCAGCCTCCCCAGCTGCTGGGATTACAGGTGTGTGCCACCACACTCATCTTTAATGTGTTTTGAAACATTTCTCCTGTGTGATAAACTAAGATTAAGTCTTCTTCTGTTTTGTTGCAAATCTTGGCAGCATATTATTCCACTAATTTTCATCCATGAAAGAAACATTTGGAATTTATTATTGTATTATCTCATATGCTAAATGTAATGAACTGGTCAGTAAGAAAGGAAAGGGCACTGACCATAGATCACAACCAAAATTGGGGAAAAAGAAAACAAAGATGGGGCTGAGGTTGTAGCTCAGTGGTAGAGGGCTCGCCTCGCATAAAAATAAAATAAAGGTATTATGTCCATTTATAGCTAATATATATATATATATGAAAGATATGCATAACATGAGAGGGATAATAACCATATTATACATGAAGAGCTCATACAAGTTGGTAATAAAAATATACCATAGATAAATGGACAAAATATAAGAACAGTCATCTTTTGCAGGAGGAAATGGCTAATGAACTTTTAGAAAAATGTTCAGTCTTATTGCAGAGAAATAATAAGGCTTGGGGAGTATTTTAAGTGTCTTTCAGAATACACTTTAATACTGATTAAATTTTATATGTAATACTTTATTGATAGCATTATATTGGGGGAAGGGTTAGTTTTTGTCTGGGGAATCGACCCCAGGGCCTCATGCATGCTGGGCTGGTGCTGTTCCAATGAGCTTACCCCTAGGCCCCAAAACATTGTATTTTAGTCAGTTTTTTTGGCTACACTATTCATGAAGAATTTCTTTTCCTTTTTTTTTTTTTTAATGTTTATTTTTAGGCTACTAAAGGAAAAATGCCATGTACAGATAGAGGAAAGGAAGAAAAATTATAATTGTTTGCAAGTGGGTTATTTTTAACAGTGGTGAATTTCATTTGTTATTTTAGTGTCAAGATTATGGGCCTAAGGCTTAGGGACAGAGCATTTGCCTAGGATGCAGGAGGCCCTGAGTTTAACCCCCAACACCAGAAAAAAAAAAAAAAGAAAAAGAAAAAAAAATCCTAGCTATCAAGTTATTTTATGCTGTGTTTATGGCTAAATAGCAAGTGGATAAATAGCTTCTCAGTGAGATGAGTGAAAGAGGCATTTTATTTTTTTATTTTAATTTTATTTATTTATTGGTACTGGGGATTGAACATAGGGTACTTAACCACTGAGTTACATCCCTAGCCGCCCTCCCCCTTTTTTTTTAGATGTAGTTGGACAAAATACCTTTATTTTATTTATTTATTTATTTTTATGTGGTGCTGAGGATCGAACACAGTGCCTCGCACATGCTAGGTGAGTGCTCTACTGCTGAGCCACAACCCCAGCCCCACTAAACCTTTTTTATGTTTTGACACAGGGTTTTGCTAAGTTGCTTAGGGCTTCACTAAATTGGTGAGGCTGGCTTTGAACTTGTGTTTCTCCTGCCTCAGCCTTCCAAGCTGCTGGGATTACAGGCGTGTACCACTATGTCCACCAAAAGGGGCATTTTAGACCCACTTCTAAGGAGCTAACATACAATTTAATTAGATGCAACTTTTATTTCTGGGAAAAGATTATGGAATAATTTAAATTCTAAAACTTTAAGTGAAATCTACTCCTAGTTATTATTGTTTTTTAAAGGGCATTATTAAATCTGTCCCCTCCTATCTATGTTTACTCTGGTTTTGTGTATGCAGAGCATCTTCCTTTGTTATCCCAGTTCAGTGAGTGGATAGAAAACTGGCAGTGGAAGGTTACAGTAGGCAATTGATATGTAAACCAGGTGCCAGTGAGATCAGATGAGATGAGATGGATGGAATTTTAAAGCAAGTGACATCTGATAAGCATTATTAAGGAAAAAACAGGGTGAGGGAGCCAGAGTCAGAACTCTATAGTGTAATTACCAATATATGAAGCAGATGCAAATAACTGGTAATGATTAGAATCAAGGAGAAAAGAACAAAGAGGAATCCAGCTATATGAGCATATTTTGTCCATAATTACATTACTACTTTAAAACATTTTAAAAAATCATTTTCTAGATGATTAAAAAAACTATACTGTCAGGCTACAGGGTGGGGGTACTCAGTGGTAAAGCATGTGTTTTGCATGCACAGGCCTTAGATACAGTACCCGACACCAAAAAATGTTTGTTAACAACATGTTCAAAATAAATTATCCATGCACTGTTGCTCTTACTTGGCTTTTTATATTTACTCGTTGAAATCTTGGTAGCCTCAGTGTCACTAATGGTTTATAGTATGTGATTCTAGCTGGACTCTTCCTTTAACCAGAGGTAGCTTTTTAATTGATTATAAAGTTTTATAGCTTTATTTCTTCATTGATAATTATTTACATTTTTTTTAAGGTACTGGGTGTTTGTTTTATCTTATTTTATTTTCATTTGAAACAGATTCTTGCTTAATTGCTCAGGCTGATATTGAATTTGCCAAAACTGGCCTCAAACTTGTGATCCTTCTTTTTCAGGCCTCTGAGTAACTAGAATTACAGGCATGCACCTGACTTGATCTACATTCTTTTTGATAATTAAGAAGCTTAATTATGTTAAAAGCATAAGCACAAAACATTTGTATGGACTGTAAAATTTAAGGCAAAATTAATTCTGTGTGTGTTTGGGAAAAACTCAGGTGCTATTATCTGGCCCAGGAATGTGTAGTTCCATTATTTTCTAGAAATAGATTCTATTATAGTCTACGGCCATACCACCCTGAACGCGCCCGATCTCGTCTGAAATAGATTCTATTATAGCCCATATGCCAATATTTGTTTTCTTTAGCTTAAAATTGTTATTGTTTCAACAAGACCTATTTTTTGTTATGAAAATCATATAGGAAACTTGAAAATCAAAAACAGAGTTCCAGGGGCTAGGGTTGTAGCTCAGTGGTAGAGTACTTACCTTGCATGTGCAAGGTATTGGGTTTGAACCTCATCACTACATAGAAATAGATTTAAAACTAATAGATTATATATACTTCTTCTTTGAAGTCACCTTTTTCCCTCCAAATCCATAAAACGTATTGTTATCCCACAAAATTTTCTTTTTTCTACATATGGTTATGTTGACAAATTGAAAAATCACTTCAAAAACAATAATACTATATGTAAAACCAAAGATGTGACTGATGGTATCAAGTAGTTTAGCAATGGTCCTTTAGTTGCTGTGGGAAGAAACCTGGCAGAGAAATGGGCACCATCTTCAAAGGCAGGCTTTTATCAACAAATTGTTACAAGTGACCTTAATTTTCTCCTTAACTCTGCTGTGCCTGTTTTGTAAGTTATCAAGACTAATGATTAATGTTGATAACAGAAGTCCAAGTAAATCAACACAGCCAAAAAAACACCCCAAACAAATAGTACAGTATTGCTTTCAGCTGTTGAGTGACCCGCTCTAATAGGGAACAGATGAGACAAACTGGCACTAATAACTAGGATGAAAGTAGAGTGGGGTGGAACAAGCATTTGTTATGAACCGAGTGCTCTATATACCTATCTCTTTTAGTTCTTAGAGCATAATAGTAGGTTCGAAGACAGTGTCTCTTTGCCTGTAAATGAAGATGGGCAAATACTAGATAAGAAAAAGCAAGTGTCTGAACATCACATTATCTTAATATCTTCAGTGGGGTTTATTTATTTGTGTATTTACGGGTTTTGTTTGTTTGTTTTTATTACTTGGGATTGAACCCAGGGGCCCTTAACCATTGAGCCACATCCCCAACCCCTTTTTTTTAATATTTATTTTTTAGTTGTAGTTAGACACAATACCTTTATATCACTTATTAGTTTTTATGTGGTGCTTAGGATCGAACCCAGTATCTCACATGTGCAAGGTGAGTGCTCTACTGCTGAGCCACAACACCAGCCCACCCTTTTTGTTTTTTTAATATTTTGTTTTTAGTTGTAGATGGACATATACCTTTATTTTATTTGTTTATTTTTATGTTGCTGTGCTGGGGATCAAACCCAGTGTCTCAAGCATGCTAGGCAAACACTCTACCACTGACCCACAACCCCAGAACCTCCAGCCCGTTTTTGTGTTTTACTTAGAGACAGGGTCTCACTGACTTGCTGGAGCTGGCTTTGAACTCCCAATCCTCCTGCCTCAGCCTCCTGAGCTGCTGGGATTACAGAAGTGTGCCACCACGCCTAACTGTTGGTATATTTAATTTTAAGGAGGAGTTGAGCAATATGATGTATTCTTTCTCTTTTTAAAATACATATTTTTTTCGTTGTCAGTGGACCTTTATTTTATTTATTTATATGCAGTGCTGAAAATGGAACCCAGGACCTCACAAATGTTAGGTAAGTGCTCTACCACTGAGCCACAACCCCAGCTCCTGATGTATTCTTCATAATAACTGAAAATGATTAAAAATAATAAAATACTAATAGTTAAA